AGGACTTAATCCACTATAATCAACCAGATTACAGACAACCACAATAAGTCTGATCAACCTTATTGGCACCCCCAATAAGTTCGTCGATCCTTATTGCAAATCTATTATGACCGCAACCAAAGTCTTCTTGAGAATCCAGACTACACAGAGTCTCTTAAGGAACCTATCAATAACAGTTGATTACAAAAATGTGTTTATAAAGATGTTTCTACAGAAGAAGATTACACAATGTTTAAGTACAACAACACAAACGTGTTAATAGCAAGATACGAAAAAAAGTTCATTGCTTATTTACAAAATTATATAAAGAATTACTCTACAAAGTTTGTGTAGCGGTTTGATGTAGTTTTGTAGAACTAATTCGTTGATTTCAAATTCTTCCAAGTCTTCTTTATATAGCTGAAAGAAGAGATTCGTTGGAGGGTAGAATAGGAAACACAAATACAATTGTTTTGTTCCGAACGGTCATGGTGAGATTGATAGACAATAGTACAAAAAGGTATGTCCTTGCGCTACTCTAGAGAGTAGAGGTCACAATGTACTTTTATACTTTTATACTCACCATCATACGTAGCCCATTAGTCTTGATCTTTGTCTTCTATATCTTCAGAGGCTTCTGATTTGTTTGTTGATGAAGCATGTTGTAGAATGATCATAACTATGTATCTTCAGAACCTAAGTCTTTGAGCCTTTCAGGTCTTGTTCAGAGAACCCTTGCCTTCAGAGTCTTCAGCACTTGGTCTTCAGAATGTCTTCATATCTTTAGAACTCGTTCAATAGAACATTTATCTTCAGCATCTTCAGAATTTGGAACAACGGGAGTAAAGCGCTAGAACGCTTCCAAAGCTTCCTAATATAAGTCACGATCAAAAGCTCTTTTACTAAAGTTCCTTAGAACTGCTGCATAAGAAGCATTCTAGAACCTTGACTTAACTTGTAAGACACCATAGGTATTTTTCCAGAGTGTTGAGTTAAGAACCTGATGACGTTACACGCCTTCTTACTAGAGTCAGAACCTGTTTAACAAAAGCTACACACTAGACAGAAACTATTAGAGTACACAATTATTCTCTAAGATAACATGTAAAATCATCATCAAAACTTAAAGACAGATGCATAACCAATCTTGATCTTACACTTAAATGTTAGAAGAAGCTGAAAAGAGTCATGAAACTCTAGTAACAATCTAGACATAAGGATTTCAGAGGAATTATTTATAGCTGAGATGACAAATATGAAAAGGAGTAAAGTGAACTAAATTGACAACTGAGAAGTCACATTACTGAATAATTTATTACACTATTTTCTCTACCTTAACCCATTTCCATTCTTGTTGTGAAGCTAAACCTAGAAGTTAGGACACCGAAGTCACATGCATTTGAAATATTTCTTGTAATTGTATTGATCTTTGTTTACATTTTTATTACTCCATGTTTTATAAAAATATAATTTAAGTTCTCGGTTATTTCTAAGCTCACTGTGAGATAAAACTTGTGCGGGAACATGTGAAGTTCGGTTATGATATCGTCTTTCTAATGTCATTGTTTTGTGGTGTGTATACATGTTTGGATCTTTTGTTTCTCGTGTTATATGTTTATTCCAAGCTCGATCAACTTAGGGTTAAAGAAAATTTTATTAAGTTATAATGATGATTTACAAATATATTTTTATAAATAATATGGTTATATAGCTAGTAGATACAACATGTTCCTACTTTCTAACCAACTTAGATATAAGTGATTGAGGCCATATTTGTAAACAAGTTAAGTATTACTTGAAGTGTAGTAGTGTTACAAGATTTTTTTAATATAAGGTGACATTAACAAACCATTACATATTCTCAGGTTGTTAAATAATACTCTAAGGTTTAGTCTCGATCACATATTTCATGCCATCTTTTACATAACAAACAATTGCAAAATAAATGAATGATTCTCATTTCAACCTTAAGCCAAATATGATTTGTATCTTATTTAATATTGATTATTGCATAACATTGATACATATTATTATTTTGCTACCTTTTTGCTCATAAATTATTTTACTATTTTGAGCATTTAATGAATTTTACCTACAACAATCAACTAGGACCGATATATTTGTTATCACTTGCTACTCATTTGATTGTATACATATATATAACTTTTCCAGGAAAAAGTTTTTAGTTTTGTTGTTTGGAATTGAATGATTTAAATTTTCAATCTGGTAATTCAATTCATTTTAATCCTTTAATAGTTTATCTGTTTATGGTGAAGTGACGTGTTACATCAGGAACTATGTATGCATAGGTTGATTGCACATGAATATAAAGTAGATCTTGAGACTGAAAGAACATTCATAGTTGGGAGGAGATATCAAAAGACTTATTACCTTTTTTTAGGAACACATTATCCATATTGTGGAACTATTTGAAGACATCATATGTCAATGGGCAGGACGGGGTTGCATTTCCATTCTCGTGCGCTCCTCCAAATTATTCTTCAGCCCTGTCTCAGATCTCCATTACGAGAAAATTTATCCTCATCCCCGTCTCACGGATCCTCACGATTTTCACAGAGATTTATAATCACAATAAAATATAAAATAAATCTTTTATTAGAATCAAATTAATATTTAATTTTTTTTTTAAATTAACCAAATGAATATAGAAACTTATCCTCTATGATAAATTTAATTTTTTGACAATACTTAATTCATGCTTAGGAAAATCTTGACCACCAAATTTTTTAAACTTAAAAAAGTTTAACATTATCATTTAGATCTCTCTCTTTTACTACATGAAAGATATATTTTATTTTTTTATCAAAAAGTTTATTATGATAACAACATATAAATTTAAAATTATATATTTTTAAAGATTTCATGGTAATCAAGGCAAGGTGGAGACTCCTCGAGGAGAGGGATATGTTTGTTGTCTCTGACCTTGAAGTGTCTTTGGGGAAACTTTGTTCTCCATCTCCGTCCCCACATGGGAAAGCTCTTAGGCAAGACTTAAGACTAAGTCTCTCAGGTTAGACTTTAATCACGCCTCTTATATGTTTGGTCCCATTCATGGAATCTCCAAGTCTTTCAGGAGGGTAGTTTAGATAGTTTAGGAAATCTCAGTCCCTCATGCGAAGTTATATGTAGCCTGAATGATGAGATCACGGGTCCCTCAGGCGAGGCACTTGAATTCTCGAGCGTGACTTCTATCAAGCCCTCAAACAAGACTTAAGACTAAGTCTCTTAGGCTAGACTCTGGTCGCACCTCTTGGGTGAGATTCATATGTTTGGTCCCGCTTGAGGAAACTCCAAGTCTCTAAGGCGGGAAGTTTAGATAGCCTGGTAAATCTCAGCCCCTCAGGAGAAGTTATATGTAGCCAGGATGATGAGACCACGTGTCCCTTAGGAAAGGCATTGTAACTCTCGGGAGAGACCTTTATCAAGCCCTCGCAAAAGAGTTAAGACTAAGTCTCTTAGGATAAAATATGGCCGCGCCTCTTTGCGAGACATATATGTTTGGTCTCGCCCGAGGAAAATCCAAGTCTCTAAAGAGGGGATTTTAGATAATTTATTCATATTATCCTGATGGGCGGAAAAGATCTTCATCCTGAAGTCTAGCATCTCAAATGTTGCCTTAAGAGGTGGTAAGAATTAGGGGTGATAAACAGATATGTCTGTCCCGCAAGAGCCCTCAAAAAAATGGGACGGGGCGGGCATAGTTGAGGATGATGACCTAAAACCTAGGCCCGCCCCGCAAAAATGTGAGTGCGAGGCAGGAAAAGTCTGCATGCACTACACAAGGCGGGACAAACACATTAGAGAGTGAGGGCCTAAATTTTTAGCGTACTCCGCACTAAAGTATGGGTAAAATGGGCAATACCCAACGGGTCGAACCCGTTTTTCCACCCCTAGTAAGAATATTTTCCCTGAACTCTAGCATCTCAAATGTTTCCATAAGAGGCAGCAAGGACCTTCATGTGGAAGTCTATCATATAAAATGTTTCTTTAAGAGATGGTAAAGAACTTCGCCATGATTTCCAGCATCTTAAATTTTTCCTTAAGCGACATGAATGATCTTTGACCTGAAGTCCATCATCTCAAATGTTGCCTTAAGAGGCGGCAATAATTTTTTTACAGGAGTCCAACATATAAAATGTTGCCTTGAGAAGCAGCAAAGATCTTCGCCATAAAATTTAACATGTAAGATATTGCCTTAAGAGGCAGTAAAGATCTTTGTCATGAAGTTCAACATGCAAAATATTTTCTAAAGAGCGCGCGCGCACACACACACACGCATGCACGCACGCACGCACGTATAATTTAAAATGACAAATTAAAAATTATTGATTTTTTTTTTTGCTTAAGAAAAAGAAAAAGAAAATGAAAAGAAAAATGAAAAAAAATAAATTTTACAATATTAATCCATCAATATTAAATATTCTATTAAATTAAAGTGTGATTTTTAAATTAATAATATAATATGTCTTGATGATAAATTCTTATTGTACGATAATGCAAAAATACATAATCATTTTTTTAAATGAGAATATATAATGAAAATGAAGATTATTACAAAAAAGACAGAGAATAAGAACCAATATCCTATAAAAAGAAACGAACCTAAAGAAAGACAATACCTAATGTATTCTTTACAAAATTAACACTTGCACAAACCAAATTAACACTTGCACAAACCAAGACCGAGGAAGAATAGGTAGGAGATATTCATTAAACTCAAAGAAAATACCCTCTACTAGAAAGTGGTCATGAATCCCTTTCTCAATCACACGTAGACAAATACATCACTATCTACAAATATCATTAAAAAAAATTCCATGAATCCTGCTTCAAATACTTAGATCATACACAAAGTCAAAAATAACTATCCAAAATAACTTTTTTTTCCTTCACTTTTTCCTGAATTATGTAAGAAATTACTACCTTAAACATTAACTGATAAGTCCTAATATTTTTCTCTAACTATTGACTAAAAATAGTTAAAATTTGAGTAGAATTAATCAAACATGAAGAGGAAAACCTCTTCCAATATTCGTATGAAAACCAACCCCAAAGCCAATTAACTCTTGCTTATACGGTAAATATGATTTTTGCTTAATCTCTTTCTTTCTTAGATAAAACGATTCCATTGCCGTTACCGGTGCCCGAATTTTCTTCTCCATTACTTGAATCTTCTTTTCGGAAGCTTTTGTTACGTTCTTCTCTGCGCTTCCTTTCCTACCGCTTTTCACCTTCGAACTCTCCACTTTCGCTTCCTTCTTAAACTCTAATGACGGAGTTACGATAATCAACGGTTCCTTTCCGTCGCTTTTACTTCGCCGGAGTAAACTCAAAAACTTCCATCGCTTTGATGACGAAGGATTCGAAGTCGAACCACTCGAATTGCTTTTCTCGCACTTGATCGGAGAAGCAATCGGCGATACCTTCGGAGATTTAGGCGTCCACAAGCAATACGACGCCGGTGGAACTTCATCAAGATCGTCCTCCACCTCTGAAGAAGAAGATGACGGATGATCAATATTCCACTTATGATCTCCGGTTATTAATTTCTGTGACGGAATCGAATTATCCGCATCGTCGGAGTTTCTTCTGTAACCGTCGCGTTTTACCAATTCCCGTAACGGAATTAAATTCACCGCCGCGTCGTCACGTTTAGAGATGGAGAAAACGCGTTGAGTTGTATTACGGCGGCGGTGATCGAAGAAAGCTTCATCGGCGGTTTTTTGAAAAACTACGAATTCGAAATTGTCGTTGTCGTTTTGGAAGTGTGAGAAGTCGTTTTCGATGATAACTTGTTGAGCGACGTCGTTTAGGTTATTAGAAGAGTAAACACTGAAACTTGGACACAACAGAGAGTCCATTGCACTCACTTCGTTTTCTTCTTCTCTATGCATTTTTTGTTTTTGGACTTGTTTTTTTTTTCCTTCGTCAAATGGTTTTGATTTTTGTTTATGAAATTTGATTTGTTTTCAGTTATTTATAGTCTATGAGATTGACTGTAGGAAGGAAGATAGAAAGAAAAAAAGCAGCCAATGTGTGACGTAAAATCTATATACTATAGTATTAGTTAATTAAAATATCATATCATAAAAAATTTTGTTATGAATCATGGATGACGGCACTACGTTTTGTATGGGCAATTTTTTATACTTTTGTTACACTCTTTAAAATATGGAAATGATAATTATAAATTTATTTTTTATTGTTAAGTACATTTAGTTTTATGTTGAAATGACTCAATTTTTTGTCATTGTTGTTTCTTATATTGATTATTTTCAAAGTTTATTGTTATTTTTTATTACATAGAAAAATATGATGAAAACAAAAATATTACACGTTATTAATTTTATTAATTTGTCGAGTAGAATCAATGGAATATTTCACTATGATATTATGGAATTTTGGGATGTCAAAAAGTAATAAGCGGTGTCTAAGGAAAATAATAATATAAAAAACTGTGAATTTTTCGGTTGATTATAACAATAGGTTCGGTCACGGATATGTATGACAACGAAGTGGAGTGGAGACGGTTAATATTTCTCACAAATTCAAATTTAACTCCTCAAACAATCTTTATTTTTCGTCTTAAATCTAAAGGGAGATGATAATTAAAATCCAAATGATCTAAACGGGTTCGAATTGGATTCGAATATCCCCGCCCTGTCACTATCTATTTAGTAAAATTAATTTTTTTAATAAAAATATTTTTTTTTTCAAAATCAAATTACATTATACGGAATAAAATAAAATAATTTTAAAACATTTAATACATATATTTCAAATATTTTAAATAATAAATACAAACCAAAATATCAAAACATTGATTAAATGTTTAATATTCTAAATTATCAAAAATAAATAATAGCATACATAATGAATTAAATGGGACAAATTCGAGTGGATACTAGTATCTCCGTTATCCGACTCATCCCCATATTTTGTAATCGAGAAAAATCCAAACTCAAACCCAAACTTAGTCAAAGCGGATTTTCTCCGTCAATTTCGGGACAGATTCAGGTGAGTACCCGCTAGTATAGATTTTGTTGTCATGTCTAGTCTTGGATAGGTAGATGGGGTAGATCTATTTCATCTCAAGGATCACTTCATTCAATTTTTTTCACTCTTCAGATGGTAATAATGGATACCGTGAGTTTTTACGGTTACTATGAATCGTCACTATTTGGGTCATGTGGATAAATGAATAATATGGAGTTTAAATATAAAGTTGCATCTATTGCTCAGTTGTTTGATAGAGTTAAATTGATGTCTTTTATGTGACTAAAGGCTAAGTCCGTTAATTTTATTTCTGGATCTCATGTGTGGTGGCAAAATTCTTTAGTTTATTCGTGTTATAAACTTTTGCATTCTCTATGGTACATCTTGTGTTATAGGATCGTTTATTGTTATAATCTATTTTGATTGTTTCAAAAAATAATTAAAAATGATTTAGTATAAAATTTAATTAACATGTATTTTTTTCATAAATATTTATTTGAGTTAAATCAATCAAAAAATATTATTTTATATAGTTGGTTCTATTTATCACTATTTTTCCACATCAACCAAAACTTTTATTCTAATATTTTTCTTACTTGTAATAATTCGGTGCATAGTTTGTTGTACTTAAAAATCATAATTATCAAAATTACATTCATGTTATAACGTGAATGTCCATTTTTTTATCTATTTATCTTTCTATTTTCTATTAAGTGTTATAGTTTTTCACTTTTCCAATGTCCTATAAATAAGGATCACATTGAAATATAAATTTATTTTTTGAAGAATATAATATAATATTATTTTCTCTTTTATTTTTCTCTCATTCATATCTATATTATTTTGATTAAGTTTATAACGTGTTATCAGCACAGTTTTCAAGTATATATATATTTTGAGATTTAACGGATATGCATTGACAATGTAAAATAATTTTATACTGTCATCCAATAAAAAGTCATCAATCTGTCATGTCATTAAATTTCTTTTAATAAAAGAGTGGTTTAATTGAATATATGGTGGTGATTGGTTGACAGTGTAAAAATATTTTACACTGTTAGTGCATCATCCTTTTTCTCTATTTTTCGTTTGTTTTAGTTTCTGCTTACTGTGAAATTTGGTAAACAACTGCTAGTCCTCCAAAATAAAAATAATTACTGGTTACTCGCAGGATCGACTAGATTGATCTTAGGACACGTGTCGAATATCGTGTTTGTTTTAATGTTTCTAATTGTTATTCTATGTTGAAAAGATAAATACGACAAAGGTAAAAGTAAAAGCAAAAGTGTGAAAACAAAGGTAAAGGGTTTTTGAAGTAAAAGATTGGAAATTTAAAGGAATTTGACTAAAATGTTAAACAAAGGTAAAAGATTTTATTTAATGTAAAAGACTTTGAATACAATAATGGTGTTTCTACACGTACATTCCCAATGACTCTTTTCTCTAACACATGCTGGCCCTTTACCTTCTCGCTATTATATTTTAGATGCTTGTATATAATTGTTAGCAACTTAGGCGTGTATGACTAACGAATCAATCTTAGATAACTAAACTGCAAAGATAAATATAACTGAAATCAAACACTTTTGCATACTTGCACCCCTAGGGTATTACCTCACTTGGTTGCCTCGGAAATAATGGTTGCGTCTCTCGAACGTAGGGATACCTTAGCAATGACCCGTGATTCAAAGTCGTCATAAAGATCACAGTCCCTACTTGTCCCTCGAGTTGCCTACGAATTGATCTTATGACGATAGTCCCTTCTAAACGCTAAGGTATCCTTACTTGTTGCCTTCAGTGACGATTTCGTCCCTTCGAATGTTCCTTTAAAATTCCAACGACGATGCTACCTATTTCTCAATAATGGGATAGCATTGTCTAAAAGGAAAACGAACAGACTTTTTCGAGTAGGTAGATTAGTTTCTAGGTACTTGCTCAAACAAACAAAAACTATTTCACACTAACACTTTCCCAAACAAAGTTTTCAAAAACAACTTCGTAACACTCTTGAGGACAGAAACAAGGGTTAAAACGAAGTAAAACAAAACTTTTCAAAACAAGCACACACAAGCAATTTCAAAATGAGCAAGTACCTAAGAGCCCGTGGAAAACCACAGATAGAAAGGGTGCTAACACCTTCCCTTTCTATAATCTACCCCCGTACTCAGAAACATCTCGAAAAAGGTTTTTTCTGTTCTTTTTCCTTTTTCTGATTGGATAAAATAAAAGTCGGTGGCGACTCTTGCTTACTGCGACATTTGCAAACAAAAAACGCAAACCATTATTAACAGTCAGTTCTGCCACCGTGTCATAGAACTGGCGACTCTGCTGGGGATGAATAATATAAAGTGGGGTTTACCTTAGAATCTAGGTCATTTTTAAATTGATTTCTTGTTTGTTTTCTATGCTTTATTCTTAAAGGGTTTTGCTTGGGCATTGTTAAAGATCCTACACCTAGATCTGGGGGCACTTTTTAGGTAAACAACAATAGATCGTGGAGACTGTACGGTATAGACCGATATGGTGAAACACTAATGGGCCTTAGAACCTTAGTTGAACAAACTTGGCCATTAGAAAGTAGTGAGATAGCCGACCTCGGTATAAAGCTGAGGATTGGTTGATACTCGATGCTACACTCATTGAGATCAGACTTTCAAGATATTTCGGCCGCAAGAAAAGATTGCTTGAGCTGAAACAATGCCCGATAAAGGATGGTTAGTGATATTGAGAATCTTTAGAACCCAATTACTTTTCTAAGACAGGTTTGAAACCAACTAAACTTAAAGAGGGTATGACCTTAAAACTCAAGCAGGCCTTAAACCTAAGAACTTGGTGTGATTTGTCTGTGTTTATTATACCTGTGATTTATCATGACATCATGCATCATAACATAGCATCTATTCTTATTGCACTAACCATTTCAAGGACCAAGGGAATTTATCTTTGTTCTGTTTTGCAGATCATGGCTTCCGCTCGTAGAAACACTATCCGAATCAGCTTTGTGAAAGTACCTTCCCAACTCAAGGAGCTAGTATCAAAGGTCCCTGAAACTCATGCGTTCACTAAGAGACATAGTCGACTTCTCAACCTGGTTACTTCAAACTTTGATGAAAAGATGATGAGTGTACTCTTTCAGTTCTTTGATCTGAAGCACCACTGCTTCACCTTTCCAGACTATCAGTTGGTGCCTACCATGGAAGAGTTCTCTCAGTTATTGGATATACCCATTCTTGAATAGTTGCCTTTCACGGGTCTGAAAGAAGTTCCTAAGCCAGAAGTCATTGCCTCAGCCTTGCATCTGAAACGGGTCGACGTGGTATCCAATTGGGAAACAAGAAATAGAGTCAAGGGTTTTCTAGCCAAGTTCCTGATAGACAAGGCCCAGCTGTTTTGGGATGATATGGATTTTCAATCTTTTGAGGAGGTCTTGGCTCTTCTAATCTATGGGTTAGTACTATTCCCTAATTCAGAATCATTCATAGATGTGAACGCCATCAAGATCTTCCTCTCTTGCAACCCTGTGCCTACCTTGCTCGGAGATATTTTGCACGCTCTCCATACTCGTACCATGAAGAGAAGAGGGCTTCTCATGTGTTGCATGTCATTGTTGTCGAGGTGGTTTATTTCTCACCTCCCTAAGTTCGTACTGAAGAATGAAGAAGGTTTGGGTTGGTCGCAAAGGATAATGTCACTCACTCACACGGATATTCTCTGGTGTTCCCGAGCTATAGAAAACACTGCTATTATTGACCGCTGCGAGGAGTACCCTAATGTCCCGTTACTTGGCATCAGAGGGGGTATAACCTACAATCCTTGTTTAGATCTGCGACAATTTGGTTACGCTCGAAAAGATGGTCCCCATGAGTTACTTATTGAGGGAATTGTATCCAACCATGAG